CGCGCCCTCAGGTGGGGTTTAGGTGAGAGGCTCCGACCAGATTCCAGGTTCGGCCCGGAGCCTCCAGAGGGGACCTCAGCCCCCATGGCAACCACAGGTGCATCCTGAGGACTTCCTGGAGGCGGCGGCGCGGCGGGAGTCAGAGGCGCCGAGGTTTGGGGAGAAGGGAGCTAGTGTGATGGGAGGGGTGGGTACCGCGAAAAAGCCACGGTGGCCTCGCCACAGAAGGTGTCAGGGCTCGAGAGACGCTCCCTCCTCCGTCGCCCTCCCCATCCCAGTCTTCAGCGGAAATCACAGGGCATTTGCGGAGCGTCTTCCTGAAGACGCCAGTTTTTGCGTATTGAGTGTCAGGTCTTCAGCATTAGGGAAGAACAGAGTCCGACGAATGAATGTCTGGTTAATCCTATTGTTTTCTTTGGTTTTGTTATAGATTAACAAATTAGACCAAAGCTTCTGACTTCTAGGTGCACAATGATCACAGCAGGTAACCTAGTTTAGACAATGAAAGGGTTGAGATCCCTTCTTCAGCCTTGGAGCCAATGATCTGGACTGCCTGGGGAGTGCCTCCTTGCTTTAAGAGGCAGGAGGGCTTAGAAACAGTGTTGGGGGTTTCCTTAAAGATGCACCTACATAAAGCAGAGATCACTGACGGCCAGAAAAACACAAGAGAAAAATGAAACCCCCCTGTATCCCATCATTTGTGCACTCCCTGAGAGTAACAACACTGAATTTAGGTTAAAGTAGAACCAAAATGGAGTCCGCAGTTTGGGTATGCCCAGAGGCCAACCGCCCAAAGCTGGGGAACCAAAACTTAAAACTGTCCTTATTTCCTTCAAATACTGACTCTGTCCTTAAAGGAAACATGCTTTCTTCATGTCAGAGTGACCTTGCAGCTTCCCAGCCAGTCAGCTACAAACAAGTAAACCTGTACAGTGCTGCTATTCTAAAAGGAATGGAAGTTTCTAGTAGCCAGTCCGAATAGAAAATAGTGTAATTCCTCACGCGTGTGCGTGGGAGGAAAGTAATTTTCTCTCTATCCTTCTGAATTCTTAGGTGAGACCCCTGTGATAAAAAGTTGAAACAAATTTCTTAACGTGTATACCCCGTGTATACATGGGAGGTACCGGAGGGAAAATGATTAACTCCTGAGGTGTCTTCTAATTCAGGCCCACATACCATCTTCACAGGGAAAGCAGAGGCCGGAACTGCAGTTAGGTCAGCTATTTCAGCCTTGGTTTGCTGACACCGGGCTTAGCACGCGTGAGCCCCTTTTGGGCCTGGTGTCTCTTTTTAACAGCTGTTTTCTGAGTGCGTACAGCCCAAAATAATCAGTATTCCACGGTGGCATATTGTGGGGTGGCTTCTATTGCCACCCTTTCACATGCTTTATAAACTAAGCGGTAACGGTTGAGAGCCCAGCTTCTGCACACTTTCAGTTTTGAAGCCTCGTCCATGGTTTGGTTTTCGCTCAATAAAATGTTGCTATCAAGTGAAGTCCTCTGAATTTTCTCTTGACCATTACCTCTGTGTATATAATATGTAGCCTGAAACCCCTGACAGCTGCCCGAAAATCATTCTCACACCCTTTGAGCTGATTCTGTGTAGTGCAGAAATAAATGAAGACTCCCCCCTCCAAATGAGAACAGGTAAAGGTTCTTCATTCAGAGCTGGCTGTACCAGGGGACTCAGCCACTATCACTTGTGTTTGGCAGGGACTGGAAGGAAGCAGGGGAAGCTTTATAGTGGAAAAAAGGGAAAATTCAAATATGCCATGTTTGGAGGTTATTGGCTTGGAAAAACTGGAAGCAGATTAAATAAATAGAAGCGGTACATCCTGTGTGATTGGGAGGGGAGCATATTTGACTTTTCTGTCGGTCCGAGATGGAGGAGGGGTAGACGTATCGGAGATAAGCTGGCATTGGTTGACCAGGTCCTGACTTGGGACCTCTTGCTGCATTGCTTGTGGTTTGGGTTCCAGACTGGTTGCTGGGGGTTTCAGGTCAGAGTTCTGATTTCTCCCAGGGTCTGGTCCCTTGGTGTACTGAGTCTCTTGGCGAGTGCTGCAGAATATATTCTAGGGAGGAGCAGGGGCAGAACCACAGGATTCCTTGGATAAATGTTGGAAATTGATCTAGCTTTAGAATCTCCTAAAATGACTATTCTAGTGGTTGCTTTCATTTATCACAAACACAGTGACTGTGTATTACTTGAGATTTGTTACCTCATTAGAATTTCCTGTCCCAGGGCTGCCTGGTGAGAGAGCTTCAAACTGGGGCTGGCCTTACTCGTTCTCTTTTTCTTTCCTTCAGCCTAGCCTGATGGCCGGGATCCTGCCCCGTCTCAGTGACCAGGCCATGGACGCTGTGTTCCTGACAGCCCGGTGGAAGGTGAGCTGGTTTCCTCCTCCACTTCCTTGGGTGAGTCCCTGCAGCTGGGCGATGGCTTTCATGTGGCTTTGACTCCTTCGTTCAGGTTGAGCCACTTTCATCAGTTAGGGGACTTTTCCTCCTTGGAAGCTGTGATGTAAAGAGCTTGAACTCCGGGGTCAGAAGATTCAGATCCAGGCTCTGTTCAGGATGTGTTGCCTTCACAAGTTACATAATCTCTGTGGGCCACAGCTTCCTTATCTGTAAAATGGGGTAATGACAGTATCACAGAATTGTGAGGATGAGATGGAATGAGGCTGGAGTACTTTGCAGAGTACCTGTGACATTTTGAGCACGCTGTTTTAGCTGTTGTTACCGCTCCTTGTGTCAGTGAGCATTCTTGTGCACCTGCTGTATACCAGATAGTACCGTCCTTTGTGCTGGGAGATAAACTCTTCCCTAAGGAGCTTACGAGCCTTTTGCAGAGGGAGATATATAAACCGACTCTTGCAATACAGGATAAATTCTGACTTCCTGGTATTAAAGGGCACAATGGAAGCTTAGTTATTGAATTTGTAACATTACAGAGGGGGATCGTGAGAAGGTGAGTTGAAAAGTCAGGAGACACATTAGGAAGCCACTGGGACAATTTGGAAGGAAGAGTCTGGGACGGGAGGGAGGGGGTTGGAGGGGTAGCAGTCCCCAGTGAGGCCCCAGCGTGTCCGAATTTGTTGAGCAATCTCAGAGCCCCGCCTGCCTCTCTCGTCGCATCTCCAGCCCCTCTGATGGCCCAGAACCTGCAGGTAGGGATGTGTTCGCTCCTCTTGTCCCCCATCCTGGTTGTATTCCTGTTCTCTCCATCCACAGGCAAACTCACCTCTTCCTGTTTTAAGACTCAGTTTAGAAATCAGCATCTCTCTGACCTCCACTGTATACTACATTCTTCTTCCCTGTGTTCCCAAGTGGGAGGGCAGGGCTGGGGCTTAGAACAGTCTCAGAGGAGCTGTGAAGGCAGAAGCCAGGGGGAGGCTTGTGGAGGGACTGGAGGTGAGTGTGCAGAGTGTCCTTTACAGAAGCTGGTCCAGGAGGGGAGGAGAGAGAGGGACAACCGGAGGAAGGAAGGCACAGGAAGCATCTTTTTAAGGACAGGAGAGGGTTCAGCCTCCTTGCTGGCTGAGAGGAGGAATGAGGGGTAGGGAGTGCTGGGTGAGCACTGCTGTCTTTCTCTACTTTCCCACCACGCTCACTTCCGATGTCAGACATGGGGGGTCCCCCACACCAAGCACGTCTGTGACACCAGCGGGGCGCCCTGCAGTATAACTCAGTTCTGTCACTCTCCACCTGGCATTAGCAGCGGCCCACTGGTTAAGGGCACAGTCCAACCAAGACCGTCCAACAACCCCCCATCCCCACCCCTGGCATCAGACACCAGTCACCAATTTGGGTTGTCATCTGCTTCTGACTGACTGGCTAGAAGTTGGGATTTCCACGACCCACTCCCTGGGTCCATCAATTTGCCAGAGTGGCTCACAGAACTCAGGAAACAGTTTACTTGCTGGTTTGTTGTAAAAGGATGTAACTCAGGAACAGCCATGTGGAAGGGATGCACAGGGTGAGGGGCGGGGCCGGGGAAGCAGAGCCTCGTGCCCCTCCCGGCTCCACACCTCCCAGCACCCCCACGATGCAGCAGCCATTTCTGGGTTCTAATGGGGGCCATACGTGGGCGGGACGGGTCCAGTCATCAGCCTTTGACATGATTGGTTCGACCCTAGCCCCTCCCCTCCCCTCAGGGGGTGGGGTGAAAGCTCCCCCCTCTCATCACGTGCTCTGTTACCCTGGCCTCCAGCCCAGCCTGGGTGTTTTCCACGGTTGCCACGTCAGCATAAACTCAGGTGTCGTTGAAGGGACCTGTGAGGAGTAACAAGACATTCCTCTGACCTGTGCTGCTCGGGAGCTATTTCAGAAACCAAGGACAAAGCCTAGATATTAAAAGACGCTCCTTTGCTCTTACAGGAAATTTCAAGGGTTTTAGGAACTTTGTGCCAGAAACAGGCAGGAGGATCAAATATCTGTTTCTTATATAAATTCCAGTGTCACAAGGGGAGGAGGGTGGAGAGAGAAAAGGGAGCGTCATGGTCACTGGATGAAGGCCCTGGAGGAGACAAGAGAGGATGAGAGAATGGAGCCTTGACTCTGCTTATAACTTACGAGCTTCACCCACTGCCTCTTCAGCCCTCACCTGTAGAGCAGTAACCGCTCAGGAAGTTGGGTAAGAACCACGGATATAATTAGCACTGTGTTTTCAGGAGTCGCTGTCCTTTGAGGATGTGGCTCTGTACTTCACCAGAGAGGAGTGGAGCAGACTTGACTGGGCTCAGAAGGATCTCTACAGAGACGTCATGCTGGAGAATTACAGAAACATGATCGTCCTGGGTAATGGTTTGGCTTGAAGATTTCACTTTGAGTGCTTTGAATGTCGACACAAGTCTTCAGTCCCTTATCTGCAATCCCAAAAGCAGAAAAAGCTCTGAAAAGCAGTTTTTTCACAACTTGTGTGGCTGTAAGGCCCAACCTGCAGTCCTCAGGTGGTAAAACCTGATTTCATCCTACAGGAAGCTGTTCATCACCTGCCATTTATCACCCTTTTTCTCATCTGTTCTTTGTATCTATACATACAGCCTCAGACGTATCAGTGTGCTTAATTAAGGTTTCAGGTCCAAAGCCTGTTGGGGGTGGTCATCGTAGAAAACACACACACCAAGTCGCCTTTAAGAAATCTGGAAAGATTCCGAGTCCTGAACCACATCTGGCCTCAAGGTTTCCAAATAAGGGGTAGTGGTCAGTGAATAGTTCCCTTTTGCTTTAGGGCTCAGGGACGTGAGTCCATTCCCCACCCCAACTCCGGCCCTCCGCGTCTCTTAAGTCCCCTAGGGGTTGAAAAGATTGTGGCCGATTTGGATTCCGATGTCGAGCATCTTACTCTCTTGCGAAGTTTTTTCCTCTCATCTCTCTGACAGTGGTTTCCTCTCTTGTTTACAGCATCACTGGGTGCCCAGGAAATGATTCTTCATCTCTGAACCTTCACAGCCTCCATCTTCCCAGGGACCCACCTCTGTCTTATTCCCACGCAGAGTCCCGTACTCTGGGAAGTTCCTGCATGAACTTTTCTGTCTGGGGCACGTTTGACCCCACACTGACATTCTTGGCACCGAGTCTTAACCCCCTCTTGTGGGACTCTCCACCCATAACTGGATGTTTTAATGTTTATTTTTGTTTTAAAAGCATTACAAGAGCATACTTGAATACATGAAGGCATAGGAAAGCATGAAGGGAAGGGAAGGGAAAAAATTCAGGGGTAACACTGTTAGTATTCTGGAATACTTTCTTCCTGTGTTTTCCCTATGCTTTAAAAATTTAAAAACAAAAAAGCTAGCTGAGCATATTCTGTGTATAATTCTGTAACCCCTTTAAAGTTTATTATAGTAGCATTTTCCCTGTGTCATTTTAAAGAACCCATAGAGCAGAAAATTAAAACCATCTGCATGTCCACTGCCCAGCACGAACCCAGTTAACATTTTGGTTTACTTTTTCCTACTCTTTTCATATATATATGAAGGGCCATATATACAGATGGTCCAATTTCTGATATTTCAACTTAAGATTTTCGACTTTATGATGGTGGGAAAGCAACACATGTTCAGTGGAAAGTGTACTTGCATTTTGATCCTTTCCCGGGGTAGTGATATGCGGTACCACACTCTCCTGTGATGCTGGGCTCGGAGCCATGACAGCCATGTGATCACATGATCACGAGGGTAAACAACTCTTACAGCCATTCTGGACCCAGACAGACATTCTGTTTTTCACTTTCAGTACAGTATTCAGTAAGTTACATGAGATACTCATCACATTATTAGAAAAAGCGCTTTGTGTTAGATGGTTCTGCCCAACTGTGGGCTAATGTAAGTGTTCCTAGCATGTTTCAGGTCGGCTAGGCTAAGCCATGATGTTTGGCAGGTGAGCTATTTTTAAATGCATTTCTGACTTAGGAAATCTTCAACTTAGGATGGCTTACCGGGATGTTACCCTGTCATAAGTAGAGGAAGATCACACACATACATGTAGTTTTTAAAAAACAAAATCTGGATCATAATTTGCATGAGTTTTGAATCATGCTACCCATGACTCTTGTACTCTGCTTTAAAAGATCTAGGGAGCATTTTCCTATTTTAAGAAATGTCCTTTGAACACGTGCATTTTCAGTTTTTGCCTAAAACTTCTGCGTCCATTGTGTTCACGTGCTACACTTTAATCATTCCCCAACTGACATTCAGTTTATTTCCAGTTTTGCACTGTTAGAACTCTGCAGACGCCTCTGGTACCTTAATCTTTGTCTCAGTTTTTCCCTAGCCTACATTTCTAAGAGTGAAACTATCACAACCCAGAGTGTGGATATTGTTCAGGCTTTCAATAAAGATTGCCAAATTTTTGCAGATTTGTGCCAATTTCTCACCTCGCCAGCCCTCTTGATTATTGTCTTACCTCTGCTTGTCACTGTAGACCCACCACCTAGACCCCAAGGGGTAAATTGAGCTCTAGGACATCTGCAGCTCACTAACCACCACATCCCATTTACTTCCCCACGAGTAGGATTTCAGTTTCCCAAACCTGAGGTCATCTGTCAGCTGGAGCAGTGGGAAGAGCCATGGATCCTGGATCTACCAAGAGCTGGGACTAGGAAGGCTTCCAGTAGTGCCTGCCCAGGTGGGTGAGGAAAGGCCCCGCCCCGTGGGACTCAGGCAGAGGAAGGGAAGCCCCACTAACGAGCCCCTCCTGTGCCCCAGACACCAGGCTGGTGTTTGGCAGGTGTTCTGCTGGTTCATCCCTGTTGCCCTCTGAAGGTGGTAGGTGTGATCGTCATCCCCTTTTCCAGGTGAAGAAAGTAAGGGGACACAGTAACTGTGACACCACTAGTAGGCTGTGGTTGGGATTTGACTTCAGTTCTGCAAAGCTCATCCTCTTTCTGCTGCAGTTGAAGTGCCTACGTGAAGCAGCCGGTCTGGTGTCTGCTGACAGCTCTTCTGCCATCCTAGGGGCTCCTTTGTCCTGCCCTCGTCACTCACCCTTTCTCTCCACTTTCTCTTGTCCCCTTGCTTCCATTTTGTCTTCATATCCCCTCGGTGTTTCTTGATGTACCTACTTTTTCCTACTTACTATGTCCTGATCGCAGCTTGTGCCCTTGTGCACATCCCTCTCCTGCGTGCTTCCTTGGCCTCGGCACTGTGGAGGTTTGGCGCTGGGTGTCCTTTGTTGTGGGCTGTCCTGTGCATTGTAGGGTGTTTAGCAGCCTCCCTGGTTGAAAATCACTGCTCTGTTCCATTGGCTTTTGTATCTATTTCTCTCTGGTTCCTTTTCTCTCCTGTCTTACATACTGAATCCATTTTTAAGAAGGTGTTTCTCCCAGAATTATTAAAAACATGCTCATCTAGGAAGTGTGAGATGCCATCTCCCCTGCAGTTCTGTGACGCTGCCGAGGACCTAGAGTAGGTTGTTTACCCCCCAGTGGTGATGGATGGATTCAGGCCCACATTCTCTGACACACACACTCGTGCATATTTTAGTTGGCTAGTTGACGTAAAGAGCTCTTCCTGATATGAAAGCTGAGAGTCCTGTGAAAGTCCAGATACCGGTCTCTGTAGACAATGATGTCATTAGGCGAGCAGTGCTTGGCCTCGTCTGAGAGTCTTCTATCACAAACAGCTGGCTTCTTTCCTTTTCTTCCTTCTGTGGCGGTCAGGTCACTTATGTACTTCCTTCTTATTTGGCTAGGTTCCGAAACCAGATTCAAGATGAGAGAGCTAACTCCAAAGCAGAACATTTCTGAAGACTTAGAGTCACATAAGATATCAGTGGTAAAGCAGAAAAAGGCCAAGAAGCCTTCAGAAGAGTTGCATGAATGTAACACATTTGTGGACATTTATGGACTTTCGCTCTCTCCTCTTGGTGACGAATGCTATAAAAACTACTTCCAGAACTTTCACCTTATTCAAGATCAGAAAGCTCAGACAAGGACGAAGCAGGGCAAATATGAGGGGTATGAAAAACTTCTCAGCCAGAGACCACTGCTTTTGAGGCATAAGCGAATTCTTACAAATGCAAAATCCTATGAATGCAGCGAATGTGGAAAGATCTTCCGGCGTCAGGCAAATTTCCTTCGACATCAGAGAATTCACAGTTCTGAGGCTCCCTTTGAGTGCGACATATGTGGGCAGGCCTTCAGACAGAAGTCCGCCCTGATGGCCCACAAACAGTGTCACTCACAGAAAAAGCCATATAAATGTCACGACTGTGGGAAATGTTTCCGTCAGATGGCGTATCTTGTCGAGCATAAGAGGATCCACACCAAAGAAAAACCCTATAAATGCAGTGAGTGTGAAAGAACGTTCAGTCAGAATTCCACCCTTATTCGACATCAGTTAATTCACAGTGGAGAGAAACCGCATAAATGCCATGAATGTGGAAAAGCCTTTGGCCGGCATTCAACCCTTCTGAGCCATCAGCAAATTCACACCAAACAGCACACCCATAAATGCAGTGAATGCGGACAGTCCTTTGGTCGGGCTGTAGATCTCATTCAGCATCAAAGAATCCACACCAAGGAGGAGTTCTTTGAATGCAGAGAATGTGGGAAAACTTTCAGTTTTAAGGCAAATCTTCATCGCCACGAGGTCATTCACACTGGAGAGAGACCCTACAGATGTGACAGATGTGGGAAAGCTTTCAGCTGGCGCACAAGCTTCATTAAGCATCAGGGTACTCACCGAGAGCAGCCGTCTACGTGATGCTATGGGAAAGGCGACCGTTTAAAGACCAGAACTTAACTCCTATTGCGAGTATGTATAACTCAATTGTTTTATGAAAACTAATAAACAGGAACTGAAATGGTTTCTCTGTGGGGACCCTCTTTTTGCAGCTAACCTTGCTGTCGTTAAGCATTACCTAACAGAAAAGTCACAGGCTCCCAAGTCCAGCCTCCCTGAGCTCCCTGTACCTGCATTTCCCCAAGTCAAGTTAAGGCAGGTGGGAGGCATGGAAGCTTTGCTCTGTGGTCCCCCAGGCTGGAGACCATTTCCTGGATCGTGAAAGATTTGAGGATGCCTTTCTTGGTTTCATATAGAAACATTATTTGAGGTTGCATCAGTTTTGTTAAAATAAAGGGCTACTCACTAGTACTATTGAGACAGTAAGAATTACTAAAATGTATCCAACAAACTAAACTGAGCGCGCTACCAGATTCTACTGAGGGTCCCTGGTCAGCATTCACAGCAGACGCTGCTGGTGCCTGGCCCCCGCGCCCCTGGCCTCACCCCTCCGTGTGCTTTATCTGCCTTGCATTCTCTCTGTCTCAGCCTGCAGGCTTTTTCTAAAACCATGAAAGTCCACTGATGGCGTCCGATGAACACCAGCTCTCCCTACCCCTAGAGTGGGCTATCTCTGAAGCACATGTTCACGCCGTCTTCCAAGGTTTCTCATGCTCCGTGGCAGCTCCCTTCTCGGCGCTCTCCTCTCCTCTGTGTCCCCTCACTCCCCTACCACGGTGTCGGCACCTCGCCTCCCCACAAGGACCTTGCTGCCATTTGGACCCTCTCGCGTTAACCAAGAGTTTCCTCTTGATTGTATTACTTTCTTTCCTACCAGGACCATGATTTCTTCTATAAAAGAAATATAACTACAAAAACATATAAAAACAACAAAGTTCCACTGGGAATGAGAAAAAAGCAAGTGGCACCCCATGAAACAAGGGAACCTTGAGCCTTGCAGGAGGAAGACAGTAGGTGCTGGATTATACACGGGGCTCAATATGCCAGCACTTCCGTACTGGTCAGCAGGGCCCGGCTGGAAGGAGGGGCTGCCAAGTTGTAGTTCCCTCAGCAAAGTTAACAAGTGGAGACCTCTGACTAAGGAGGAAATAGTAAGCCAGTGAGAGAGAATTCTTGCTTACAGCAAACTTGGGAGCTGGGGACCCCTGAAAAGCAGATCTGGGCATGAGTACCCAGAAGTCTGGCTCAGGCTTTTAAATCTACTCTGTGTAGAAAACGTACCTGTTTCCAGCTTTCCAGAGAGAGAGAGGGTCCAACCAAGGATAACATGAGGTAACGTGAAAATGCCTACCACCAGCCACATCTGTCCCAAGGGGGAAAAGAGAGTTGCGTTATTCAGTGTGGTGGCCACTCGCCATATGAGCCTATTTAAGTTAAAATTTTTAAAAATTAAAAAACTAAGTGCCTCAATCAAAAGCCACATTTCAAGACCGGCACAGGTACAGGATGTTGCCATCCCCTCGGGCTGACTGGACAGCACTGTAGAGAGACCCCAAGGACTCCTTGTGGAGGAACCAGGGAACTGGTATTTGGTGCCACTTACTTCTTTACAACTGAATTAAATGGACTTCCTTCTCTATAAGTGGCCCCAAATGTTTGATTTGCTGAAAATATTTTTTTTCAGTAGAATTCCTGGGACACAAAGGAGAGGGGTGGGGCTGGTCTGGAAGCCTTGCTGAACTAACTTGCTTTGGGAGGAAGGAGTCCCCGGCTCAAGAGTGCCCAGAGGGCAAGTGAGACTTCCTGCCTTCCCCAGAGTGCAGACAGTCGCCAGGCCAAGAGGACAGATTAGTGATGTCAACGTCAGTGTATGGTCTCATCTGCCAACGTTTAGCCAGAGGGCAAGAGCTCCAACCCAGGATGGTGATGGAGAAGAAATGCTCAAGTTTTGGCTTTCCTGTTTGGCTAAAAGCCTGGCTAATGGGCTGTTCCCATTGACCCTCACGCCTGGCCGGACTGAGCAACCATCAGCTCAAACCATCAGCGCAAAGGTCAGAAGAGTCTGGCACCAAGAGTCTAGAATACTCCACTGGACTAGAAAAGGTGCACCTTTTTTTTTTTTGACAAGACCAGTGAAGCTTTTTTCACCATATTTAAATCAAAGTGAAAATTTAATAGTACAAAAGCTGTTTCTTTAGCTAATAGTGCTAAACTATAAATTAAAAAACAGGCTGTGTTAAAATTCAAATGACTGAAAAAAAAAAGATTGAAAAATCACTGAATGCTTTCATCTTCTCCTATTTTCACACCCTGGGAATACAGTTCGCTAAAATGTCACGTGGTCATATGCCTGGTGGGCAGCTTACACCTTTGACGACACCTGTATGAGTCTAGATCTTGTTCATGTTCATTCTCGACTACAGCTCTCATCAAGGTGGCTTCTTTGTCAATATCTCTTAGCTGGTGGAAGTGTGGAGGGGAAGCATAAAGCATAAATACTACATGAAATTCTAAGTTGTAAAATAAATTAGAAATAGATGACTTTCTGGCAAAATGTAAATTTTCAGGTAAGCTCTTCGATTTTTTCCAAACAAATTTATGGCCAGTTATTTGTGTCATTATCATAAAGCGGTATTTTCCCCACTTCCATTTCCAAGTGCGCATTGCTAATATAAATGACTCAGTAGTGATGTTGTTCTGAAATAATTTCCAAATTACAAAAACAATATAGAGAATCCTTTACACCGTCTACCCAGATTTACCAAGTTTAAATTTTTTCCAGCTCTCTCTGGGACTAATTTATAGCAGTTTGAATCAACTGGGTCTATATGCATAAGCATAAATCAATCTTAAAATGGCAAAACTGGTTCCAGCGTGACGTTAGGAGTACAGTTATGTTCTGCGTAACATTTTAAATCCTATACTACATATATTGCTTATGGATACAAGATCTTGTAATTTATGTCTGGACAATATATTACCTGGTTCTGTTTTTTCTGGAACTCACATATGTGGAATCATACTCCTGTTCCCTCACTGCATGTATGTTTTGAGAATCATGTATATTTCTGAGTAGCTGTGGTTCAGTCACATTCACTGACTCTGAGTATCCCATCGCAGAAATACAGCACAATTTACAGATCTTTGGTTGATGGGTTTTCTGGATGTGTCCAGTTTGGAGATTTCACAAAATAGCATGTCAACGTGCCTCTTGGTTCCCTATGAGAAGAACTAGAAATAAGATATATACATGTTCAACTTTAAGAAGTACTGCCAAACTGTTTTCCCTAATAAATGCAACAGTTTACACACCCGACAGCAGTGGGTGGGAGTTCCCACCTCTCTGCATCTTTGTCAGTGCTTGGTACTAACAGATTTTGAAAGATCTGGTAATCTGTGAGGTGTGAAATTTTGTCTAATTGTGGTTTGATTTGTATTTCTCTTCATTACAAATGTCACTGAGCACCTCCATCTTCCTAAGCTGTGCTTCCTGTTTGTTTACTATAACACAGTTGAACTTCTCAACCTAATACAGTCAGTGCTTTTTGAATCTTGGTGCAAATTGCTACTAGTTTATCAAAAATTTGTTTTTCTCCTTCTGGACACACAGCCAGAGTACATTTCAGAGCTTGTATTGTTATGAAATGTGGCTAGGCAGCTGGGTTCTAGCCAGTGGAACGTGAGCAGAGATGACGTGTGCCACTTTTTGGCTTGGCCCTTAAAGCCCTCTCACACCTCCGGGCCTTGTCTGCCAGTTGACTAGGTTAGAAAACCCCCAAGGAGGTCCTGGAAGCCATGTGTGAAGATGGCAGGGCTGCCATCAGATTGACTGCTTGGAGGAGAGCCTCCCTGCCAGTCATGTGCGTCTGCCTGAGGCGGTTACGGGTCTGAAAAACAAACTTCTATTGTGTTTGAGCAACTAGACCTTTGTAGGTCTATTTGTTAGAGCTGTTATCACTAAACTGACTTAATATACATTTAAGATATTCTTCACTAATCCGAGATCAGTACTTCCTGCATTTTTTCCCAAAAGTCTAGAAGAATCTCAATCAAGAACTGGATGAATTATTGGACAAATAACTAAACCTGGTCTTTTGGCAACTGCCATACATGTTGGGCTGAGTTGTGTCCCCATCTCCCAAAATTCGTATGTTGAAATTCTAATCCCTAGTACCTCAGAATGTGACTGTATTTGGAGACAGGGCCTTTAAAGAGGTGATTAAGCTAAAATGAGGTCATTAGAGTGGGCACCAATCTAATCTGACTGATCTCCTTATAAAATGAGGGGATTTGGATACAGATCTACACAGAAGACCATGTGAAAACACAGGAAGAAGACAGGCATAAACCAAGGAGGCTTCAGAAGGAACAACCCTGCCTAGACACCTTGATTTTGGACCCGTAGCCTCCAGAACTGTGACAAAATAAACTGTATGGCTGATTTCATTTCTGATGAGGTCTCTACCTGGCTACAGCCAGCTGGCCTTTCCTCAGTCAGTGTGTGGGGAGGAAGAAAGCTCTCTGACGTGTCTTCTTATAAGGACACTAATCCTGTTGGATCAGGCCCCACCCTTATGTCCTCATTTAACTTGATTTCTTTAGAAGCCCCCGTCTCCAAATACAGCCACACAGAGGGCTTCAATACATGAATTTCAGGGGGACGCAAACCTTTAGTCCGTAACAAATGTCTACAACTACATGCAACAATATGGATTAATTTCGAAGATGTAAGTAAAGCAAACCAAACAGAATACACACTGGGTGATTCCATTTATATAAAGCACAGAAGCAGGTGAAACTAATCTGTGTTGCTTGAAGACAGGCTAATGCTTTGGGCTGGGAGAGAATGACTGCTGTGGAGCACAAGGTGGAGGGGCTTCTGGGGGCTGGTAGTGTTTGGCTTACTGATCTGGAAGCTGCTTACATGGGTATGTTTAGTTTGTCAAAAGTTGATTTAATTTGCTTATATTGTAAATTGTACTTCACTAAAAAATTTTTTAAACCTGAGGGGTCCAGTGAGACAATGAATGAGGCACTTCCAAATATCAAGAACTTAAAATGCCCATACCCTTTAACTTCAGTACTTTACAAAAATTATAATTATTTGCTATTTCTTCAGGAGTTGCTGTCCTTTGAGGAAGTGGCTTTGTATTTCGCCAGAGGGAAGTAGAAAGACTGGAACTTGATTCAGAAGAATATCTACAAAGATGTGATGCTGGAAAACTAGGGAAACAGAACTTGCTGGGTAAGGGCCCTCTGTCCGTACAATTCGGCCTTGTTTGTGTGTGTCTGGATGCCTATTTAAATTTTTATTTAGATAGATAGCTGTATGTACATTTATACTTATAAATATACATATGTAAATTTTCAAGGCCTTTGTATATAAATGTCCACAATCTCTTTTTTTCAATTTCATAATTTAAAAAAGCTCTTTCATCTCCTTAGGTAGGTTTATTCCTCGGTATTTTATTCTTTTTGATGTGATGGTAAATGGGATTGTTTCCATAATTTCTCTTTCTGATACTTCACTATTAGTGTATAGAAATGCAGCAGATTTCTGTATACTAATTTTGTGTCCTGCAACTTTACCAAATTCATTGATGAGCTCTAGTAGTTTTCTGGTGGCACCTTTAGGATTTTCTATGTATGGTGTCATGTCATCTGCAAACGGTGACAGTCTTCCTTCTTCCTTTCCAATTTAGATTCCTTTTCTTTCTTTTTCTTCTCTGATTGCTCTGGGTAGGACTTCCAGAACTATGTTGAATAAAGTGGCGAGAGTGGGCATCCTTGTCTCATTCCTGATCTTGGAGGAAACGCTTCAGCTTCTCTCCATTGAGTGCAATGTTAGCTGTGGGTTTGTCATATGTGTTCTTTATTATGTTGAGGTATGTTCCCTCTCTGCCTGCTTTCTGGGAGGTTTTTATCAGAAATGGATGTTGAATTTTATTGAAAGTTTTTTCTGAATCAATTGAGATGATCATATGGTTTTTATTCTTCAGTTTGTTAATGTGGTGTACCTTCAACTTGTTAACGTACCTATACTTAGAAAACTATAAGACACTGATAAAAGAAATTGAAGACGACATAAAAAGATGGAAGGTTATACCATCTTCTTGGATTGAAAGACTCAATATTGTTAAAATGACCACACTACCCAAGGCAATCTACAGATTCAATGCAATCCCTATCAAAATACCAACAGCATTTTTTACAGAACTATTAACAAATTATTTTAAAATTTGTAGGAGAACACAGAAGACCTCAAGTAGCCAAAACAATCTTGAGGAAGAACAGAGCTGGAGGAATCACACTTCCTGACTTCAGACAATATTACAAAGCTACAGTCAAAACAGTATAGTACTGGCACAAGAACAGACCCATAGCTCAATGGAACAGGACAGAAAATGCAAAAATAAGCCCACATGCTTATGGTCAATTAATCTACAACAAAGAAGGCAAGAATATACAATGGAGAAAAGACTCTCTTCAATAAGTGGTACTGGGAAAACTGGACAGCTACATGTAAAAGAATGAAATTAGAACATTCTCTAACACCATATACAAAAATAAACTCAAAATGGATTAAAGATCTAAACGTAAGACCAGATACTATAAAACTCCTAGAGGAAAACATAGGCAGAACACTCTTTGACATAAATCACAACAGCAGTATTTTTTGGATCCACCTCCTAAAGTAAAGGAAGTAAGAACAAAAATAAACAAATGGGACCTAAGTAAAATTAAAAGATTTTGCACAGCAAAGGAAACTATTGACAAAACAAAAAGACAATCTACTGAATAGGAGAAAATATTTGCAAATGATATGACTGATAAGGGATTAATATCCAACATATATAAACAGCTCATATAACTCCACATACAAAAAACCAAACAACCTGATTTAAAAATGGGCAGAAGAACTGGATAGACATTTTTTTCAAAGAGGAAATGCAGATAGCCAACAGGCACATGAAAAGATGCTCAACATCCTTAATCAGGGAAATGCAAACCAAAACCACAATGAGATATCACCTCACGCCTGTCAAAATGGCTACCAACAAAAATGTTGGCGAGGATGTGGAGAAAAGGGAACCCTCCTACACTGTTGGTGGAAATATAAATTGTTGCAACCACTGTGGAAAACAGTATGGAGGTTTCTCAAAAGATTAAAAACAGAACCACCACACAATCCAGCAATTCCAGTCCTGGGTATATATCTGAAAAAACCTAAGACATTAATTTGAAAAGATACATGTACCCCAATGTTCCTAGCAGCATTATTTATAATAGTGAAGATACGGAAGCAACCTAAGGGTCCAACAACAGATAAATGGATAAAGAAGATGTGGTATATATATACAGTGGAATAGTACTCATAAAAAAGAATGAAATTGTGCCATTTGCAGCAACATGGATGGACCTGGAGGGCATTATAAGTGAAATAAGTCAGAGAGAGAAAGACGTACTGTATCGTTTATATGTGGAATCTAAAAAATACAATACACTAGTTAATATAACAACAACAAAAAGCAGCAGACTCACAGATACAGAGAACAAACTAGTGGTTACCAGTGGGGAGGGGGTTTGGGGCAATGCAGGGGGACAGTGTGAGGTACAAACTATTGGCTGTAACACAGGCTACAGGGATGTGTTGTACAACACAGGAAATAGAGCCAGTATTTTGTAATAACTGTAAATGGAGACTATTTATGGTGAAATAAAGACTATTTATCCCCAGTACATATTCACATATTCACACATTTTGTTCCAGAAATATTAACATGCTGAGTTATGGTGTACCAGCCCAAATCCCTAAATGATGTTGCATAATATATCTTACTTTTTTAAAAACGGAAAATTTCTGATTTTTGAAACATATACTCCCCAAAGCTTTAGATCAAGGATATCCAGCCTTGAGAGGGGCACGTAACACCTCAATGAGGAGCAGCAGCACCACCAGGGGATTGACAGTAACACCCCCCCCCAACCCCGCATGCAAGAACCTTGCCAAGAGGAAGCCCTGATAAAGCAAAGGAAAAAAATGGCAGCTTTATTTCTGATGGCAGCTCTCAGTTGTATGGAGGAGACCTGATCTGGAAATCAGCAATCTGGCCTGAGGAAGAGTCAATTATAGGCAGTAAACTTAGCTACAGGAGACTAGCCACATGCCCTAAAGGCTATTCTTGGGCTGTGGCCAAAAGCTAAGCCATATAATCATGCAAGTGGGCCTTGGACAATTTTAAAAAATCATTAAAAATGGGGAGCCCAGTTATAATAAGCCCCTTGCTCACCAAAAGATTCCAGCATGGGTTCTGAGGACAGGATGCCAAGACAGACAGACAGACAGACGCTCTAGTCCAGTCACTCGAAGTGGCAATGTGATATCTGCACACCAAGATACATGGCCACGGAGACCCCCTGTGGCCACATGCTGTGATTATCCAGTCATCCCACATCCATTGTGGCACCTGCTGGGGCGATGATGGTTACCACAGACTGTTCAGAATCCTGCCAGAGAGTAAGCATGTGAGAAGCACGGGCTCACTGGTCCTGCCTTGGTGGCCCCCAGTGCACCTGCCAGATAGACAGCCCTTCCCTGAATCCTCTCTAGGAACTACGGATGCTTGTTACCCCGGGGTCCCTCCCTCTGTTGGGGTTAGTGGGAGGGCACAGTTCCCACCCCGAGGCCCCAGAAGCTCCCCTTTTACCTTGGTGCCATTGCCCTCCAGACCCTGAAGTCCCACGCAGGGCCTAGGGCCTTCCAGAATAGAGCTCAGAAATTTTAAAAACCAAGGTAGGCTAAGACAATAGAATTAAATGACTTTATAACTTATCTCCCGGCTCCAGTAAGGTCTTTTATCACTTTGTTTACAAAAATCTAAATTTACCATTTTGCAGGACACTGTGTTGGGTGCCACAGGAAAATACAAAGAGCAGTAAGATAGTTCCCAATTGTTCTGGACCGAATTGTGTGTCCCTCACAAAATCCATGCATTGAAGCCCTAACCCGCAGTGTGACTGACTGGAGATAGGGCCTTTACGGAGGTGATTAAGGTCAAATGAGGTCATGAGGGTGGGGTCTTCAGGGATAGGACTGGTATCCTTACAAGAAGAACGGACACCAGGAGTGCATATGCACAGAGAAGTCGGCCGTACACAAGCTGAAGGGCGAGGGCTCGGAGAAACCCACCCTGCGGACACCTCGGGAAATGCTCCTGTCTTCTCTCCAATGCCTTTCCTAATGATCGCCTCACTTAGGTTAAGCCGAAGCACAAGGCTGCGCTGGGAGAGGGGGCGGGAAACGAGGGAGAGGGGCTTCTCCCAACATCCTGCCGGGGACAGCAGCGACGCATCGCGTGTCTCCTCCGCCACCCGCAGCCGGGAACTGCGAGCTGCAGGGATAACGCGGGAAACTGAGGACCAGCGCACGGAACACCGAACCAGCAGGACAAACACAAGTTCCGGAAACGCTACCGGAAGCGCGTCACCGTTCCGCCCCTTCCCCGGGAGCTCCACCCTCCCCCCCAACCAGTGTTCTCTAGGAATCCAGGAGGTCTCGCGGTCTCGGTGGTTCCTCTCTAAATCTAGGGAATTTAATCTCCTCCGTCTAGGGAAAAGACCAAGATTCAGAAGCAGCTCCTCACTAATGAGAAGGAAATAAGGAATTGATGGGGAATCTAACCTGAGTGGAAGGCGCAGGTCACAGGTTTTGACAACTAGACATGGCATGTTTCTAATTGTTTCTTCTGCAGGGAAAGGATCCGAAGCTGATGACCCAGATTGGTCGTACTCAGATGGCTCTGGTACTTTTGTAAAAACAACAACGAATTTTGATAGCATCTATCACAGGCTTCCTCCCTAGCCCAGTACCTAGCATATACGTCTGTAGAATTCAGCCACGTTCTCCGTGCACCTTTACTGATACAATTGGAATGCAAATTCTACTGTTTCGTTCCTTTTTTACCCTTAGTCCTTTCCAACATTTTAATGTTAAAAAGGATAATGAAGCAGCGCCTTGAGCAAACATATCTTGATCTAACTCGCCCCAAATTGAGCCAACAAAATATGTTTTGTTTCCCTTTCCTTTTGGAGGATGGATGTGATGACTGAAGGGCAGCAAAAACCTTTGCCATCAGATGTTCAAATCATGAAACTCAACTCTTTCCTGCACCTAGAAGCAATAAGAAAAAGATGTAAGACTACAAATGAGAGTAGTCTTCAGCTCATTAAGAAGTTTCTGACAATCAGCTCTTTTAAAGAAGAGGCTTTAAAGAGACTGCTTAGGGAGGCAATAAATTTCCCATCACTGCAAGTGTTTCATGTAGAAACTGGATAATCAAGATGCCACGAAATGTTTTCTCCAGTTCAACACAGTTACTGTTCCAGGCACATGCCTACAAACTGAATGGGGATTCCTCCATTACATGGGCAGTGGGTTTTTATGGTCCCACTGAACCTTTTTCAATTCTGAGATTCTATTATTGTATGATTTTATCGTATCTTGGATCAAAACTTTTTCACACAAACTGACAAGAACAGTTTATCACTTCTTTAATGTTTGATGTTTAAATAATTTGACATATTATAGTTTGGTGCTGATGAGCTTAGCATTTGGAGGCAAAGTGATCTTGGTTTAAATGCTGGTTCTGCCACTTATTGGCTGTGTGACTTTGGGCAAGTGAATTAACTATTCTGAACCTGTTTTTCCCAACTGTAAAATGAGGGTGCTAGAAGTGAAACCACTTCATAATGGGAGGATTAAGTGAAGTGATCCACACAAAACACTTGGCATGGTGTTTAGAACACGGTAAATGCTGAACAGACATTAACACCATGTTTTGCTGAAGCTATCATTCTCAACTATACCCGACCTTTAGCTCTAAGATTCTGTTTGCAGGTGACAAATGTCTTCTTAAAAGCTACCAAGGAGGCCCTCTGATACTCAAACATTGCATTAAGTTGGTGGATATTTGTCCTGAGCATGTCATTTTCTCTCTCCAAATCAGTGGCTTTCAGCAAGAGCCACTCGAGTCCATAATTCTTGTATTCTTTTCATTTTGTTCCCCCCAAATTACCCAAGTCAGTATATCCCTTTCCACCTGTATTCCATCCCAGTTCACCAAAGTGAATGTCTCCTAATCAAGCAGCCACCACACGCCGGGGACTATCAGTGCTCTGCCCACCACCAGTGACAGTGGTCCTCATTGCCTCTTGGTGAGTGGCCAACTCCACAACTCATTCTTACAAGACCACTCATGGCACCATCTCTTAGATCAGGCTCCCTAAGGCAAAGCTTGAGCCAGGGGTTCAGAACCACGTTGAGGTGCTGAGGGCATGGAGGGAACGAGACAGGATGGAGAAGGCCAAGAGCCTGAGTGGAGTCTGATAAAGCCTGTCTGATCAAGTCTAGCCTCGGCCTGATCCACAAACTGCACAGCTTCCCACCCTGAAGCAGGTGATCAGCCCTTGGTACCCCCATATCAATCAGTCATGGGCTCGGGGGCGAAGGGCAGCTAACTCCTGGGTGAGGCAGCTCCCACCCACTGAGGGTAATTCTCCAAAGGAGAAGGGGGAGAGTTGTGAGCACTTGGCAGCCAAAACTCAAGAGCATCTGGGGCACGGAGACACCAGCCTGTAATGGGGGTCTGCACAGGGGACCAGTGTACAACACACACAGTCAAAGTGTTTCTTGGGTGTTTATTGTTAAGCCAGGCAGTCAGCAGAAGCAGGACTTACTTCAGCAGCGCCCAGAAGCCTGTGTCCCTCTCTAGCAAACAGGCTCAAGTTAACCCTCATCCATGTAATTGTCTTTCCCCCACAATCCCACCCAGACCTTCCCACAAGGCAGGGCTCACCAGACCATAACCTCCTGGTTCCTAATTAGTGTTTAGTTTCAAATCCAGCTGCAACTCAAATTGAAGCTCATTCTACACGTCATTATCCTATGGGAGAGCTCTATCTCCACGGCAACTGGGAGCTGGTACGTACACTGCTTGGACCACAAATCTTCACTCAACGTGGTCCAATTCCTTCTATGGATGTAGCTGCCCTCATTCTTGTGGGTAATAGACTAAAAACCAGTCCACAGTTCTTCTCTTCTCTATGCCCCTAAGGTCCCGCTCCCCTCTCCCCAAGAAGTGACTGACCAACACAGTTTCTCCTGAATTTACAAACTTGACTTCTCTTTCTACTAGCTAAACTTGATGCTAGGGAGAATCAAAACAAAACAAAAAGGTAGAGGGTGTTTCACGGAGAAGTTGTAGATTGAATAAGGCAACAAGAACACATCCCCGTCCAGCCTCTGAACCTCAATTTTACCAAAACATAAATACCTTAAGTCAGTTTCTTTTCGAAGGGTTTAATACTCAAAGGGAACGGTGCCTGGAGCATTCTAGTGGCTGGGAGGATCATTTCTAGAAAAGATTCATTGCCGAGGTACCAAAATCAAGATCATGCTGAAGTCCTCTCTTCCTGTCACCATGCTCTTCCCTGAATAGATAAACTGTCAAATGACGCAGAAACTACTAAAGCTTATTTCTACTGCATTCGTGAGGCCTTCCCCAGTGTCAATGTGCTGAGACTCACGTGAAGAATGAGTGGCATCTGAAGGTTTCCCTTCATCCCCTGTATCCCTAGCTTCTCTCTTGTCTAGATTCTTAAGCATGAAGATGCTAACGAAAGCATTTCTCAGTGGGAAGAGCAGCTACCTTTGTTGTGGATTCTCCAGCGTTCCTAAGTTCTAACTGAAGGACTGCAACATATCTGGAGGTTTGATGGTTACGTCGGAGAAGATGCTTGAAGTTGCTATTACGTTCATTACAGGAGTGGGGCTCCTTCTCAGGAAGGCTTCTCTAAGACTGTGTACGAGCGCTTCTACGAGAGAAACACCTACACACTCAAGGTATTTATGGGATCTGTCCTCTCATGACTTCTCAGATGTTTAAAGAGGCTACAACTCCAGCTGAAACTCATTCCACACTCTTTACACTGAAAGGGTTTCTCACCAGTGTGGATTCTCTGATGTTGATTGAGATGTGACCTGAGAGTGAAGCCTCTGCCACACTCGTTACACTGATGGGATTTCGGGTTGGAGCAGCTTTTTGGATGTTGCTTTATGTGGGAACACTGGCCAGCGATTCCTCGACATGTCTCGCACTTGGAGGTTTTCTCTGCGGTGTGAGCTCTGTAATGCTGAATCAGGTCTGAACTAAAGCGAAAGGCTTTGCCACACACGTCACACTTATAAGGCTGCTCCTGTAACTCCATCTTCTTATCTTCAATCACGGTTAAGTTCCAACTATACGCTTCCTCACACATGCCGCTTTTTTCATTTTTCTGGCCCACGTGGAGCACCTGATGTTCAATGAGGCTCACGTACTGGAAGAAGATCTCCCCACATTCGTGACACTGATGGGACTTCTCTCTCGAGTGGAGCCTCAGATGCCCGGCGAGGTGCGAACGCCTCCCAAAGCCTTTCCCGCACTCACTGCACTTAAATGGTCTCTCCCCGCTGTGCACGCTCTGATGCTGAACCAAGTGGGACCTCACTCTAAATGCTTTTCCGCACAAGGGACAGGTGTAGGGCTTCTCCCCGGTGTGGACCCGCTGGTGCTGCGTCAGGTGCACGCGCTGGTTGTAGCTTTTCCCGCACTCATCGCACCGAAATGGTTTCTCCCCCGTGTGGATGCGCTGGTGCTGAATAAGATGTGCGCTCTGGATAAAGCTTTTCCCACACTCGTTGCATTTATGTGGTCTCTCTCCTGGGGAGGTCTTTTTGTGGACGTACGTGACTTCATTGAAATTCACCCTCTTTGAAGAGGCTTGTCCTAGTCTCTCTTTCATGGGAATTCCCTGCTTTCTCTCCAACTTGCCCTGCTGTTCATGGCCTTCTCCAAAATCTTGAACTGGAGGAACACTTCTCTGGATTCTTCCTGTGAGTTCCACGTCTGCCGCTGAAAACTCTGAAACCTTCTTCTTAACATTCAGTTTTGTATTCTTACTTCTTTTATCACTGCCTGAAAAGATAAAGAGGAGACACAAAAGTTATCAGTTCTTCTACAGAAGAAAAATGAACTACCAGGGGGAAAAAAGGATAATCAAAAGGAGCTATGATGTAACAGGAGTAACAAAGTGGGGGTGCAGGCATGTGCGTGAGGCCAACAGAAATGAAAAGAACCTTCTGGGATCTGTCCAGTGACGAGAACAAGACAAAGAAGAGAGGCTTACTTGGGAAGGTGATGAGAAGGGTGGAGGTTAGGCAATCACAGGGAAAAGCCAAACACTGATGACACAGGAAGGAGAGGAAGGAATTCTGACATGGGAGAGGAGGTAGGAAACGTGGAAGGGTCATTGCCCCAACAGAAGCCCAGCAGACGGAATGAGATAGAACAAAGACGCACAACTGGATGGTGAGAACGGACAGAACCTGGAGGAATGGGAAGCAAAGGAGTGTGAAGGGGTGATGGAGTTGGAAGAACATCTGATTACGAGCCAGGAAAGATGAGAAATGAGCCAATAAAAATTATTGTCAAGAGGGGATGTGATGCACCAATCTCTGCGCTCTCGTCCCTCAGCCGACGCCCCAGCTTCCGTCCCTCCCATGGTGCCCAACATTCCTCATCTGGGAACGCCCATCACCTCTCACACCTGTTCCTCCCGTCAGACCACCAGCTCCACGTGGGCATGAACTGTGTCTGCTGTTTCCTGCTGTACCCCAAGCACCCAGCCCTAGAGGCTCTCGATAAACATGGCTGGCTGAGCACACAAACTACCCCTCCTTCAGTCAAAAACACGGGGGAGGCAGGTGAGTGGCGGCTAGGAAACAAGGCCTGAGGACAGTTACCGGGGTGATGTGAAAGAAAAGATCCTATTTAAAAACAACTGCTTCCCAGGTCCAGGGTGCTGCTGGATTGGTTTCCCCAGTGATGCAGTCGCCAAGTAGAACGGGATGGACCTGGCTGGGGAGACAGCTCAGCTCAGCTCAGCCCAGAACATTAAAGACACCGTGGGCTTCCTAAGCTTCAGTTCCATGTTGGAAGAGGGGGCAGTGGCTGTTGGTGTGAATGACAAGTAGGCGGGCTTGGGGACATCAAAGGCATAATTTAAAAATAAACACTTTGGGCAGCCTTTGAATTTTCTGAAGAATATTAATAAGAACCTTTAAGTTCACAGCACAGTTTATGGTGAGCTCATCATTATGTAAATCATGTGAGCAGATAAAAAAATAAGGAAACAGGGAAATTACTCAAACTTACTCATCACCAAATTAATGAAAATGAACATAGCAAAGAATTCTCTTCTGCTGACTCAATTTGCTAAAAAAATGTTCTGATAACCCCAGAAGAAATGTCGTGCAACTGAAGCTCCCACATGCGGTATAACTGTTTTAAAAAGCAATTTGGTGATACATAGCAAGAGCCATAAAAATGTTTTTGGCTTTTCATCCACTAGCCTCGCTTCTGGGCACCCATCATAAGGAAATAATCTTAAATACAGAAAAAAGCATAAACACAGCTATCGGGACAAAAGAGGAAAAAATGAGAATTTCAACTGGGGAACAGCTGAGTAGATTATGATGTCCCCACACAACGCCAGGCTGTCAGAAATAACAAACAGGAGGGCCAAGCAACACCGCAAAACGTGCCTAGTATTTAATTGTACACTATGAACACCTTGATATAAAAATAGGCTTGTGAAAAAAAAGATGGAAATACACTAAATAATTATAGTTCTATTAGTTAAGGTGGTGGGATTATGAGTGATTTATTTCCCTCCCACTTTCTTTCCCCCAAACTTCCTGAACAGTTGACCTATGAACAAGACCGGTTTGACCTGTGAGGGTCCACTCAGGTGCACGATTTTTTCCAATAAACATGTACTGCAGTCCTACACGGTTCACAGCTGGGTGAATCCAAGGATGTGGAACCGGACACAGGGCTGCGGGTAAAGTTACACGTGGTCCGTGGACTGTGGAGCAGGGTGTCAGTGCCCCGAACCCCTGCGTTCTGCAAGGGTCAACTGTACTATTGTCTCATTTTAAAATAAATGAGGCAGGGGGTACAGCTCAGTGGTAGAGTGTGTGCTTAGCAAGCACGAGGTCCTGAGTTCAATCCCCAGTACCTCCATTAAATACATACATAAATAAACCTAATTACCTCCCTCCCTGCCCCGAAATAAAATGAAATGAAATGAAATAACTCAATTGGGGAAAGGGGAAAGAAGCATGTAAGAGAGCCCAAATCCTCATTTACTAAACAGAAAGTCAGTAGAGGATGTCTGAAATTGACGAGCAGTGTTATTCTAAAACATGGAATAACCAGAAGAAACGGGGGACTGCTGAGCCCAGGACCTCTGGGGAAAGGGAAGTGGGGGGTGGCAGGGAGGGCAGAGCGTTCTGCCGACTAATTTGACGGCTAATTCAAGCACGAGTGATCCCAGACTGTCCGTCTCCGCCCCTCCCGACTCCTGCTCCCTGGATCTCAACCCGCCCGTCCTAGGGTTCTAAGCCTATGAGGCAACGCCTGCCTCCCTCCCCTCCCCGAAGGCGCGCTCCGACACCTACATCTCTGGGATTTCTCTCTGAAGTGGCGCTTGAGGTGCTCGATCAGGTGGGAGTGGCGGCCGAAGCTCTTGCCGCACTCGGAGCAGCCGTAGGGCCTCTCGCCGCTGTGCACGCTGTGGTGCTGCACCAAGTGCGAGCTGACGCGGAAGGCCTTCCCGCACACCTGGCACTTGTAGGGCTTCTCGCCGGTGTGGACCCGCTGGTGCTGCGTCAGGTGCACGCGCTGGTTGTAGCTTTTCCCGCACTCCCCGCACTGGAAAGGCTTCTCCCCTGTGTGGATGCGCCGGTGCTGAATGAAGTTGGAGGCTTGGAGGAAAAATTTCCCACAGTCATTACATTTGTGACCCCTCTCGCCGCTTGGGTTCTGCTGACGGTGAACGTCCGTGATGGCACCCAGACCTCTTTTCTGAGGAGGGTTCTGCCTTGATCGCCCCACCGTGGGGTTTACCTGCCACCTGTCTACCCTGCCGTGAAGGTCACTGACTTCTGCAAGCCCCTGGCTCGGGGGAACATTCCTTTCTGTGCTTCCTGAGGTCATCCATGGCGATTCGGCCTCCTCGGAAATCTGCTTTACCAGGACTTCCATGCTGTCATTCCTGGATTCGTAATCTGAGATAGTGGAAGGAAAATGGAAAAGTTAGCTTATTCCCCGCATTCAAAGAAAAGAAAAATGGCCGAGGAATACGGGATAATGATATGAAACCAACAGGTTCTGGCAATGCAGGACCTGGTAAAGTCGCCTGCAAAATGACTTTACAATACAGGGATGGGAAACACAATGCTGAAGCAGGAAACTGAGGCAGGTTAGGGAAGAAAGAGCCGGTAAGAATGGTTCGGGGGATGAGACTGGCAGAGCAGTCGTTCTATTTAATGAAGATGATACCCTCTCGGTGTGGTATTTGCACAGTCCTTGTTTGTGAATACCTGTTCACTATTTTTGGGGGGGGGGATCTGGTCATTTATCTACTTATTTATTCTTTAATGGAGGTATGGGGGATTGAACCCAGGACCCCATGCATGCTGAGCATGCACTCTACCACTGAGCTGTACCCTGCCCCTTCAATGTTAACTATTCTCAATCAAATTTGATATTGGGTTATGCAGCTAACCCGGGCTTCACTTTCCCCTTCCTGTTTATTCACAGCCTGGAGAAGAAAGAAGCTCTTTCTCACTTTTTTAAACCTCAAAGAATCTCAGTTTGGTGTGAATTCGTCTAAAGGAGAAAAGGCATTCTGTCTGTACCCAGAGAAGCCCTACAACTGTCAAGAGCTAGCTTAGCACACAGCAGTCACTGATGGATAGAGACCTTTAAGAGACTATGATCAGTTCCTTGTGGAACTAGATCAGCAACATACATTTCACTCAAAACACTGACATTTACTAGGGTTTGCAAAGACAAGCCTTTAGCAGTTAACAAAAAATAAGGAATGTTTTTTAAATGCTGGGGAGATAGATCATGGCCTACTGAGAACTTTCTAATAAGATTTTCTTGTAAAAGAAAAAAAAAGCTGTTTTCAAGTCTTAACACAGAAATGGAACTAAAGCACTAACAGTGGCTGAGTGTGCACCACGCACGAGGCACTGCGCCTGCAAATGCTTTCCAGTTTTATGGCATTTAATCCTTACGACGACCCTCTGAGGTGGACACTGTCCTTTCTTGACATAGTGAGGAGTTGTAAGTCTTGTACCATGAAGGCAACTTTAATTTATCTTACAACTATTTTTACTCAATTCTCTTCCTAAAAAGACATTTTTAATAGTGGAAACAAATAAGCATATAAACAGAATTCTAACACAAAACCAGACTTTTGACATGTTTTTTCCTCCCCCATTTAACTAGGCAGGTAATCTCAGCTATCACAGTATTTCTCTTTTATTCACACCCACTTATGCCCACACATTTTATTCATACTAGAATTCTCTCCCATTCAGCAAGTTGAACAAGCTCATGGCTTTCTTTTTCCTGGGGTGAACGTGAAAAAAATCATATGCGCTCAGTGCACCTCTTTGGGGCACTTAACGATTGCCCTTTTCCAGAGAAGGTGATTATACAGGTTGTTTTACCAACTGGCTTACGGATTAGCTTTTCTCCTCTTTCCCCACCTCTTCTCTGAGGACATCATAAGCTTCCTGCTGACTCTCCTGGCTAACTGTATGTCTGACAGAGAACTGTGGTCCTTGCTCAATGCTATGCCTGGGTGCTCAGTGCTTGGGGGCGAGGAGGGGAAGTTGGTACAAAAAATGCCCAATCAGTGGATTTACTGCTTTACAAATTCACACTCTTCAATCTCACTGGTACCCATCTGGCGTTCTATGTGTCTAAGGGTGGCTGGTTTCCCACTCATTCTTCTCAGTGCTTTCCCAGTAGCATTTAAGTAGGCTTAAAACCTCCCCCATTAATAGAGACGAAATACAAAATCATCCATCCATCTAAACCATGTACCCTTTCAGTGATCGGCCCTCTTTCGCCTTCCCTTCACAGACAATGCTCTCGAAGATTTTTCAAGAACAGCTTCTTCAAATTCTTCTCCTTTGCAATCTTCCAAGAAACTGTCTCTTGTTCCCCAACACCCCAGCCACTCCACTGAAATGGCTGTCTCCAACATTCATTCGCTAATTTTTAAAAATCTCGTTTCTAAATCTGATGGATACTTTTAAAATCTTCACCTTCTCTCGTGCTGTCAGGAACATACAGGCATGAAACTAATCTAATGCAACCTTCCCAGAGAAGTTACTGAGAAACCACTGAGTATGTTCTTAATGTAGAAAAATATGCTCAAGTTGTAAAGCTACTGTAATGAAGAGATGGATAATGAGAAAAAAAAATCAGAAAGCAAGAATTCAAAACAGCCTGGAGAATGGTATACAAAAGAACTGTGCCAAGTTCTGAAACTCTGAAACCCATTAAATACCTATAATGTAATAGAAAAAGATTAAAAAAAATACTTATTGACTCAAATCAGACCAGGAAGGTATTTGAAATTAGTTTTAAAAGGAGACAATGAAAAAAATTGCATTAAGTATAATATTTACACTACATAAATAATTCCTTGTGCTTGCTTCGGCAGCTCATATACTAAAATTGGAACGATACAGAGAAGATTAGCGTGGCCTCTGCGCAAGGATGACACGCAAATTCGTGAAGCATTCCATATTTTTAAAATGTTAAAAAATAATAATAATAATTCCTTGAGACTACCACTAAGATTCCAACAGATAAACAAGCAGAGGGCATGTACCTATAAATTAAAGAACATAAATATATACCAATAGTAATAAAAGAAATGGAAAATTTTAAAAAGCAGAAGTCAATTTTATTTTTTTTAAATAAAAGCCTGTGAGTGAATGAACACTTAGTTCATTTCAAAAGAATGCTCTTCAAAAGAAATTTGGCATTATCATGTATGTACTTCCTCTAACGTCTGCCAGTGTGCTTGCTATATAGTCGTTCTTCCAAAATAGTTCATTCAAAAGAAGCTAAAAGCCTAAGCTCCAAAGTGTTGGCCAAGTGCTGAGATTTTTTTTTATAATTGCTCCAGGCAGCACAATCAAATATTAGTTTCCAGGATCATAACTTAGCCAGAAATAGGTTCAAAAATCTCATCTGAGGTGCAAAATTCAAGAAGGTATAAGATGTGTAAAATGCCAATGTCAAGGTGAACAACACAAAATAGGTACCAGGGATGTGAGAAAGGTAATGGGGTGGACCACTCACCATCCACACGTGAGAAGAAAGAAAAGAATTAACGCTATTGAGATATTGTAATAACTACTGTAATCAATGGTTATGCAGCGAAGTCTGAGATGCTTTCACACCTGAGAATGACTCAGTTAACAATTATTCAATTTGTCAAGGAGCAGAGCACAATAACTACTATAAATCTGTTAGAATCCAATCCTGTTAGCTTGAAGCTAAACATGACATTTGCTGGACTGCAAATGAGATCCCCAAAGCATTATCAGTTCTCAATCATAAATGTATTATGATGGAAATAATCAGAATAAGCTGAACAAGGAAGAAAAGAGGGAGAAAGCTGATTCTCTCTTTCATAGGATAAAAAAATAAGCAAGGTCATAGCAATGAAAACATACACGCTTTTATATAGGACATGCTAGAAATATTCTTTAGAAGATAACAAAATTAAGATGTCCTAATCTATGCAGATGAAATAATTCTTACCCATGGAAGTAACACTCCCATAATTCTCCTTCCTGTCATCCCTATAGAGGGACTTCTGGGACTGGTCCAAATGTCCCCATTCCTCCAGGATGAAGGATACAGCCACATCAGCCACATCTTCAATTTTCACCAACTTCTGAAACACAAAATCGCCGCTAAATTCCCTACGTTCAAATTTGGAGTGAGGGGAGGAACGGGGGGTGGGGGGTGGGCACTAAGGAAAGAAAAAGGGGAGGGACAGTGCTTCACAGAGGCCAGAGGTGTAGACCAGAAAAAGACATTAAAGCACAAACGCGATGGGCCCAGTCTCTGGTTAAAGAGACAGAACTCTGATAAAGATTCAAGCTTAAGGCAGCTACTGGTCGAAGAATAGACATGGGTCCTCAATGTGGGCACAGGGACGCCGGCTCACCTGGGACCCAGCTGAGAGAAGTGAGGTTGTCAGCTCCTGGCTGTCCTTCAGGGGAAGGGAGGGAACTTGGAGAGCAGGAAGGGCTGAGGGGGGAGAAAAAGAGGTGTCAGTGAGCATCTCTCTGCCCAGTTCCAACTGCCATCATGTTCCACTTTTGCTCAGGAATCCACAATGGCACCCAGTGGCATCAGGGCTTCGCTGTCAAGACCCTCCACTTTTTAGCTCCCCAGCACCTACCGTATATGCACTCTTCCCCCCAAAAACCAGACGCCCTGCTTTGGTCAGGCTAGTCCTGCTGCTGACCGCATATGGTGCCACTCCCCTACAAAGGATGCACTCTGCTCTGCCAAGGTCAAATCTAGTCGTCTCAAAGAATCTCCAAAGTCCCACATCTTCCATGAAGCTGAGAGCCTGGGGCTTCTCAAACTTTACTGTGCAAATAAATCACCTGGGGGTCTTGGAACAGGGCAGATTCTGCCTCAGTAGTTTCGGGGTGGCACTCAGTCATTTTTTATGGCTTTTATATTATCCAAAGGTCCTTGATACAGAGAGGTTTAATTCTTACTAAAATTTCTTTAAAAATTCTTTTTCATTATCCTTTGACTCTTCTGTAAATTATTCATAAAATGACTTAAAAATATTTTTAAAAAATAGAAAGGATCCATCAGCCCCAGCTGTTAAATGGTGAGGACTATTTTCCAGTGCACTGAGGGTTAAATGAGTTCATCCAGGTAAAGCTTCGAATGGCCCCTGACACACAGTGAACACCATGTAAGGAGTAGCTGCTGCCGCTTCAGTTACTGTTACCACAGGGGAAGGAAAGTTGGAAAAGCTTAGAGCCCCGGGATGTCAAGTGAATGGCCGGCCACTCTGAGAAGCCTGGAAGGAAGCCTGGGGCCAAGTAGGAAATACGGGTTCACAATTCTTATCCACATTCTGAAATCCCAGAGCTCAAAACACCAAGTTTTTTGTTTTGTTTTTTTCATTAAGTTGGCCATTGAACTAATTTGACAGCAAAACCTGACCAGACCTGATGTGAAGCTATTTGACGTTTTTATTTAATGCACTTACTGGAATTATACATACATTTCACTGCCGAAATATTAAATTAATGTGTGTGATTAAGGGGTCCCACCTCAAATCCTGTTGGGAGTATGATTTACATATGTAAATCATCTCATCTCTCTAAATCTGAAAAATTCTAAATTCTAAAATGTATCTGATACCAAGAGTTTCTGATGAGGGACAGACTTGTGGAATACATCATCATAAGTGGGGTATTCATCGGGATCTGCAGAGATAGTACGCACAACTGTATGTAAAGTAGGTAAACAACAAGGTCCTACTGTACAGCACGGAGAACTATATTCAATACCTTGTAATGGCCTATAATGAAAAAAAGTATGAAAAGGAATATATATACGTGAATCACTATGCTGTACACAAGAAATGAACACATTGTAAATCGCCCATACTTCAATTTTAAAAATTAACGAGATATTTTAACTGTTCACTTTTGTTCCTTGACGGATCTAACACAGTTTAACAAGAGCAAGAGCGAGGGAAGGAGAGACAGAGAGAACAGATGCTCTGAAGGTCATTGTGAAGCACAGCTTAAAATAAGATTTTGCAGCGAAGGTCTGAGGAGCCACAAGTGCTGTCAGGAACTGGAGGGCTCTGTCTGTGTTGAGTGTGAGGATGGCAAAATGCATGCAGCAGAGTCGGAAAACTGTTGCAAGACACTTAGAATACTTCTGTAAAAGACTTCTGCCGATCTTTTAACAGTACCTGCACTGAGTTGCCATCAGCTGCGTGACAGCTTTCAAGTGTGGTCAGGTAGTTCCCGGCCAGGCCTGTCTGCTGACCAGGGACTCAACTCCGGGTCTCCACCCCTTCCCAACCCCCAGATCAGGCTGACTACAGAGGGGCTGCCCCGCCCAAAGCCTCTCTCTACAGACACTGCTGACTGCATGGCCTGGGCACCCACATCCGTTCCACCGAATCCCACGTCCTCACCGTCTTCCTCCAGCACATGAGGCTTCTGTGGCTCTTGTTCAGGCTGCGGGTCCACGGGCAGGAGCTGGTGACTGAAGGACTCGGGCCCGGCTCCAGGGGGCTCTATCTTCTGAGGAAGCCCTTCGGGAAACGCCACAATCTAACAACCACAACCACACCTGTCAGCACGTTACAGGAAAGGCTGCAGGAGAATCCAGTGAGCTCTCGTTATTCCTGCATCCCTCACTTTGCCAAGTATTTACAGTGTGTCTCCAGCGAGCCGGGCATTAATTACACAGTGGCTTGGTAAGCACGGTCTATGTCTAGTTGAACACAACTTCTATTAAACATATCAACACACAGATAAATAATTACAAACAGTGCTTTATGTTAGAAAGGAGAAGAAATGGCGCCAGCAGGCAGAACAGATGAGACCCGTTTTCAATTGGGTGGCCAAGAAAGGCTTTTCTAAGGAGGTGCCACTGAAATGAACACCTAAAGGATGTAAGAAGCCAGCCAGGAGAAAGTAAGGGGTGTCCCAGGCACACAGCATGACATAAGCAAAGGCCCTCAGGCAGAAAGTGGGTGCTGGGGACAGTCAAGGAACCATAAGAAGGCCGGTGTGGACCATGTTTAGTGAAGGGGGGCGAGGGTTGAGAAGTGAGCTTGGAAAGGTCAACCTAGGACTCAGGAAGCCACGCTCAGCGCCCTGGCAGACCAGGTTCGACTAGGACAGACCGACACCAAGGCCAGAGCAAGTTCACGTTGGTACATCCTCCATCTTTCTGTTCTTTGCTCTTCTACAGCCTGGGGACACACAGTCACTCTGCCACACCAGGCTCTAGACTCTGCCTCTTCTGGAAGGTACTAGCTCCTAGCAGGTAATAAGATCCTGCTTTGAGATAGAATCGCCACCTCCCTCCCCTCTCCTCCCGTATGTTTCAAAGCACTTTCAATGTTAACCCTTTGAGTGCTGGCCAAATGTGGTCCAGGTGTCACGTTAAGAGGCAGAACACTTGTGCAAGTATGACTCTGCAAGGGAGTGTCCTTGTGGTCCCACTCAGAACAAGAGTTAAGACAATGCCAAGTATGTCAAAGGGCAGCGGGGCACCAAAGAAGCAAAGCAGCCCTTGAGGTCCCCTGAGACCAGGACAGAGAAACCAAAGAGGAGGGGTAAAGGATAAAGCCTGGGAAAGGCTGGCCAGAGACAAGACCTACCTGGAGATTAAGTTGAAGGATAACATCAAAATATGAAAATGAATGAATGTATGTATGTATATACGTGACTGAGACACTGTGCTGTACACCAGAAATTGACACATTGTAACTGATGGCACTTCAATTAAAAAATAAAAAAATTTAAAAAGAGTAACATCAGGATTATGGAAGGCAGGCAGAGAGAAAGGCAAACACACTGAGCTTGGAGGCCCCAAATCCCTGACAAGAACTCAGAAATGATCGTTCTCTGTGTTCCTTCCACAGATGGGGTGTGTATCAAAATAGAGCGGTCAGTGTGTAAGATCTGCTGTAAATCCTCTATTTAAAAAGTGCTTTTTGTTTTCCACTATGCTTTTGAATATTTATTACTAGAAAAAAGTAGGGAAAAGTCTGTCCACTGGTGTCCCAAATGAGGCGTAAGAAAGGATAACTAGACGCACCACCGAACTTCGACTTCCCATCCTGACAGAAGCAAGGGAAAGGTTCTGACACTCCTGATTGCAAGACAGGCATTCAGCACAGCTGCAGGGTTTGACAGCAGGGCCAGAGCAGCTCCCTCTGCTCCCCACTTGCCTAATGGCTGAACTAAACCAGCCAAGAGCCTGGGGATGTTCTGGAATATTGAAGTACCCTGGACCCAGGGGGGAAGAATAAAGATTCAGATACCTTACCCTCAAATGCAATGGCTCTGAAAATGAGGGAAATTCTCTAATTGGCTTCAAACTCCTGCAGACCTATGCTCCCACGATTTTTGTTTCTTTGCTATTAAAAAAAAAATTAAAGTTTAAGAGTGTGTGAGCCTAACAACAAGAGGGAGGTAGAAAGTCAGGTGATAAATGAGAGAGAAGGGACAAGAAGACATAGCAACAGAAAGATAACGATCCTTCTTAAATTACTGTATGATTTCATGCAGTCCCAACAAAAATACCAACTTTGGGGTGGTGGGAACTAAGTAACTCTCAAGTTTATACAGAAGAAAGGAAATACTGAAAAAAAAAACTGCAAGGGGGAAGGGCAGACCTACTGAATACCAAATACTTTTCAGAGCTCAAATAAATACTGACATATGAACAGACAGTAAGATCAATAAAATAGAATAAAAGGACCAGAAATGGAGCCATAAATGCAGAAATTTGGAATAGAATAAAGATAGCATTTTAATCAGAGAGGAAAAAAAGAGATCACCATACAAGTTGCTGGAACAACTGCATGGACATGTGAGAAAAACATTAAGCTATAACCACCCCAAACACCCTACACCAAAATGAATTCCAGATGGAGCAGTCATTTCAAAGAGTAAAACAAAACAATTAACAACAAAAAAACTATGGAGAAGAAACTATGAGAAAAGTTTCTCGTAACTCTAGTGGAGGGGGCCTTTCAAAGCATGGCACAAAACCCAGAAACCATCAGTTAAAAGACTTCAAAAAAAAAAAAGATTTCAACTGACTGCATCAAAATAAAAAATCCTGTAAAGTAAAAATTTCCAGAAGCAAAAGCAAGAGGGAAAAATAACACTTGCGACTCAGATGACAGACACAGTGCTTACTTTATCTAAAAGGTTAGTATAAACAGATAGTTCAAGAGAAAGGGTATATGCATAGCCTTTTAAACTGTACTGTGGTCAAACTCATTCATCATAAGAAAAATGCATATGAGAATCACAGAAATGGAATATTGCATCTTTCAGATTGGCAATAATCAAAAAGTTGGATAACATGTGTTATCACGCTGCGAGCAAAAAATTTCTCTCCTCCATGGCTGTTGGGAAAATAAACTGGTCTGACCTCTACAGAGAATAGATTGTCCACAGCTGTCCAAATTACAAATGCGCATGGCCTCTGAGCCAACAATTTGACTTCTAAGCTTTTATTCTACAGTTAACGGTGTACGTAAAGGATAGTCATTGCAGCGAAGTTTGTTACAGTAAAAATTCAAAAGCAATCTAAAGGAATAATTTAAATGGCTTTCACCAGGAGTTAAATTACGGTACATCCACTCAATGGAACAGAATGGTGAGACAGCTCTATCCGCACTGACACAGAACAAGCCAAGATAAATTCTAAGAAAAAAGCAAGAGGCAGAAGTGCACAGTGATATAAAAACATCTGTGTTTTTTTAAAAAATATGTCATACACATAGATGCTAATATCTACAGAATACAGTAGATCTCTGTAAGGATACACACGTATCACGTGACAATGGTGGCCTCTGGTGAAAACTCAGGCAGCCAGGGACTCAGGGGTGGGAGGGAAACTTACTTTTCATTACAACCTTATGTACCTTTTGAATTTTGTATCATGTCATTCAAAAAATAAATACAGTGATTTAAAACACAAATAAAATCGCAGACTGTCTTCTCCAGGTTAACACACTGGATACTGCTTCTCTTTGCTGGAGTGGCAGGAAATCTCCACAGTGGACCTAATCCCAGGAGAACAAAAGAATATGAATGAAGCACCAAGGCGCTCAGGCTCTCACCCCTGCTCAGCAGCTCCTTAACTCTCTTCCTCTCCTTCCTCGTTGCTCCAAGATCTCCTCTTTCACTCACCTGTTGTCTGCGTTCCTCTAGCTCTCTCTGGATATTTTCTACCACAGCCACAGCCTCTTCTCCACTTTCAGGGTGATGTTCTCTCACCCAGGTCTGGAACTCTTCGGGCAGGATGGTCAGGAACTGCTCCAGCACCAGCAGCTCCAGGATCTGCTCCTTGGTGTGCAGTTCGGGCCTCAGCCACTCGCAGCAGAGCACCCGGAGCTGGCTGAGGGCCTCCCGGGGGCCTGACGCCTCGTGGTACTGGAAGTGTTTGAAGCGCTGATAGAAAGTCTCAAACACTGGCGGGTTGTACTCTTGCATCCAGGTGCAGTCTTCTTCCTCTACTTTCACGATCAGAAGGTCTTCCTGCTCTTGTGAAGTCTCAGCCGGAGGATCTAAGTCTATAACTTCCCCAGTTTCTGTCATTATCATTCCAACTGGGATAGCTCTCCAGGTAAGCTGGGTTACACTGATCAAATTTGCCTTTTGCTCTTTAAGATCTTCTGAAGGACACTCTCATTAGCATGCAACCTACTGATACATTGGAAATCATTATCAGCAAAGAGATGATCGCTCAACAGATTAATTTACTTAAAAATGTGTCCTGCAAGACAGCCAGCACTCCACCCACAAGATAATTACCAATAGGGGATATTTCCAACATTTAAAAAGGATACAGGAGAGCAATAAAAATCTGACATCTAGCTTACTCAAAGACAACCTTAGTAGTGAAGAACACTAAATTTCATATAATAGTAGGACAAGACTTACTAACTAGTTAGTCCAGACGCAGCCGCTCCTTTCTCTACCACAAGCCAAACTTAAGTCAGAACAGAGGTCAAAAACATTACAACGGTCAAAACTGGACCTGTCCTTCAAGCCATAAGAGCTTGACAGATCAACGGGGGACTTCATGGGTCCCGAAGAGAACCGGGGTTCTAAGTACAGATTCTGCACTCGGATTCCCGACAATCGCCCCTGACCCCGAGCCACGAAAACCGGCCCGATCAAGGTTAGGGACAGGACCCTCGTCTGGACACAAAGGGCATCCTCCTTGCTCAAGGTCCCAGCCCCGGGGAGCTCTCCTGGAAGATCAAGCTCCCGCAGCCAAGGCTGGGAAGATGGGTTTCTTCTTACAAACAGAGAGAAAACCGAAGCCGACACTTCGCAACACTTCCTCGCCGGAAGTAAGCAAGTCCAAGCTTTCCCTGACCAACGGGGTAGAGCCATAGATCCCACCCCCGAGAGCACTTCCGAGTCCTCTCTAGGAATCCCGGAGGCCCTCGCCTCGCAGCGGGCGGGACGTGCCCGCCCCAGGTCCCGCCCCGAGCCCCGCCCTCAGGGGCTGCGGGCCAATCGGCGGGGAGGTAGGGCGCCCGCCTGGGATTCCAGTCCAACCTCCGATAACGCGGCCGTTCCCCGCCCACCGAGCCGCAGGTACAGCGTCCCCAGAGACAGGGAGAAAACCGAGCCGCCCTCTTCCCCAAAACCACTTAAACAGCCCGAGCCCGCCCCTTTCCTTGGAGCAGGAGCAGGGGCGGGGCCTCAGGTGTCCGGAACGCTTGCTAAGGCGACAGTCGCTTGTGTCTGGTTGGCCGTGGAACTTGCGCTCCCTCAGCCCCAACGCTCTGCGTCCCAGTTCAAAACAGGTCCGTACCTTTCTGCGAGCCCGCAACCCTTACTTCTCTCTAATGGACCCTTCGGTTTCTTCTCCTGAATCCTCGCCACTTCCCGCACCCTGTCTCCAGACACACCCACCTCCTTACCACCGCCGTCAGCTCAGACGGCAGAAATCTCCGACGTCAGACCCGCGAGTCGCGGGAGCCAGCAACTATCGGGACTACATCTCCCAGGAAGTCCCACGCGGGCCACGCCCTCCAGCCAATAGGACCGCGGCTCTCTTCGCAGCCTCGTCTCGCAGGCCTATCAAAATGCGGGAGGTCAGGGAGGCGTTTCCTCGGCGCCTCCAGTGGGAGGCTGAGTGTCGGGACAGGGTCTTCTCCTGGCTAGAGAGAGTGGGGACGGAGAGAGGAGGCGTCTCTTCAGGGCTTCTCTAGCCAAGGGGATCCCATATTTAATAGTCTCTCATTTTTGTATCCGTTTACAAAGCTGTGCGACAGGCAGGGCGACAGTCACTGTTTTACATGTCACGAAGAAGGATGAGGCTCACCGACTCGACTCTGAATCAGAAGGCTTATATCCTTAGATGCTCCAGGAGAGTTGGGGTTTTTTTTCTGTATGTTGTGAATTTTCACTCAAACCAGGAATGAGGTTTGGGGACTGTCTTGCCAGCGCCGTGGTCTACTTTACGGGAATGAAGAAACGCAGAAAATCCTCTACTATTCCCAGAGGGACCTATAGCGGGAGACGCTTAAACTGACACTGCGGTATGTTTGGCGCAATGTAGTATTTGTGTGGTTTCACTTTTTACAGTTAGAATTGTCAAAAGTTCAAACAAACAAACCAACAAACCAATGAATTAATGAAGTAGTCATTAATAGAAATTTATTGTGCAGGCACCAAAAGGCAGAATGCAAACTGGGAGCACTCAAACCAAACTATGGAATGAGGCTCAGAAGTACATTGTTAAAAAGCATCTTACAAAATATGGAGGCAGTGACTGGTTATTCTTCACAGTGATTGGTTACAATTTAGAATTTTCTTAAACGAAAGAAAATTGGGTAGTGATTACTTCATATCAAATTGGGAGAACAATTTAAGTTTTGCTGATGATTTTTAGAGGCATAAGCAAGAAATTATCCAGGTCAATTTAGCCTGGCTTGTTTTGCAAAATAAGCTAAATTAAGCTTTGTTTTTATGACTAAATTAGCTTTGTCTGCTCAGGGAATTTTCAAGTCTGATGTATGTTTATGTTTGATTTTAATAGAACATTGCATGGTTTCATTTTTAAATGTTGAGTCTTTGGTCCATTAAAAATTATCTTGGTGTATGATGCAAAGTATAGATCCAACTTTATCTTTTTCCAAATCATTACTCAGTTCTCCCAACATTTATGAAAAATTGTATCTTTATTCCTTATTTATTTGTGATGCTGCCTTTATTGTATGTTAAATTTGCCTGTGTTTTGAAGTTTGTTTCTAGATTTTCTATACTGCTGCATTGGTCTGTTTGTTTACATGTGTGATCATTCTATGTTGTGTTAATGTTATTGAGGATTAATAATTGGTCTTAATATCTGTGCTTCTGTACAATCTTTGGATCCGGAAGAGACTACCAAGTACTATGAGGGCAGTAGAAGCATTTTTCATCTCCTCCCAGTGAGAGGAGATACAGGTTCTGTCTGCTTTCCAGCTGATTAACAGTCTGGCTCCACCAATTCCTGTTTCTGGGTTGTATGACCATGGACTCTGATCATCATATAGTTATTTGCTTAGGTCTTATCTCCCTTTCTCCTGTAATGTAACTTTTGCCTTCATCTGCAGAATATCAAGTGCTTTCATCTTCTCTCACTGCTATCACTGAATGATATATTTCTGTGTCCCCAAAGCCTTTTCTGGTGCTTTGTTCACAGAAGTTAATTGAAAAATGCTAGCAGCGTCATCTTTTAAAAAAAAATTAAGTGATAAAGTGAGAAAAGGAAAAATAGGGCAGGGATAAGTAAGATGGAGCCAGGGATAAGGGGTTTACAAATTGCCTACTGTATGTAAACTCCTATACACTGGCAAAAGATAGCCCACAATTTGGCTCTGAGAAGCCTCAGCAAGCAATGCAAGAAGGAAACAAGATCAGTTATGATTTGCAGTGTATCTTGGGTAGAAGCCAAGTATTCATATTGACTTAGGAGAAATCAAGCTATTCTTGGTACTCAGAGGGAGGAGAAATTTCCACGACTGCCCAGGAAAAGGACACTATATGTATGACACAGTGGACAATATCTTAATAAGATCTCTGCAGTAAATAAGATTAATAGGTTTTAATGACCCTTCAATGTTAGCCGATGGCAGGTATCAAAGCACAACTCAAAAAAAGCTGATTCTGTGAAGGAAGTAGAGTGTAGTTTAAGTATTAGGGTCTCTTGAGGTCTGGTTTGTTTGTTTGTTTGTTTTCATGGAGATACTTGGGATTGAACCCAGGACCTCATTCATACTAAGCACACACTTTACCGCGGAGCAATACCTCAACTCCCTGCATGATTTGTTTTTCTGAACACTGGCACAGAAAAGGTGGGGCAGTGTCCATGCTGATACTTTAAAGTGAGGAAGAGGGAGTAAATGACACAACAGGGGAGTTGGTTTTAGAAGAGGACAAATCCTTGGCAACTTGGATAGCAAGTTCAAAGCGTTGCAAGGGAGCTCGGTGTAGAAAACCGTAAAATTGGAGGGAATGATACAATCTACTATGGATTGATTGCCTATAAATTTAACCCATTTTTTAATTAAAAAAAAGTCTTCAGTTCACATGGACTCTTTAAGCTTTAATCTCTTCTCTGAAGTCTTTTACTGTACCCTCCTCATCAGGCATGGTTGATCATTTCCACCTCTAGTTAGACAAATCAACACTGTATTCACTTCAAAGCATTTACTACACCGTCCTGTAAGGATTTTTCTGTCTCCTTTAGAAGACTGTGAGCAACTTGAGGACAGGGACTCTGTCTTCCCAGTTGTGTATTTATAGTGTCAAGCACGGTGCCTGGCATATAGATACGCTACGACACCTTGCGTAAATGAATATCCAATGAATTACCACTTGTACCGTTGGATCTTTAACTTTCCCTAAGACAAAATTTACAAAACTTTATCCACAGATAATGTGTTAAAGAATGACGTTCATTTTTAAAGGAAGAATATCCTGTAGTTCTGTAACCTTAAGGACTGCAAGCTCCACCCTGCAAGGTACACAGGTAGAGTCCCTCGCTAAGTGTGAGGACGGCAAACCACCGAGATGCACCTCAGTCCTCCGGGGCGCCTAGAGAGGAACCGGAAATGCCCGCAGGGATGTGCGCCACAGGGAGTCGGTGACGCATTTCCGGCATGGGCTGTTGGTATATTTTGTCGCGGGCCATAGCGGCTTCTTGGGGGCGGGTAGCTGCGGGTGGGAGGAGTCTGGGCGGGGGCCGGGCCAGGTGGGACCCTGTTTGGGACGGGGCCGTCCTGAGCCAGCGCTCTCGGGAGGTCCGATTCGTCCCGTAGCATTTTGCTGGGTTTGCTGTCTTCTCAGCTGAAGGCAGAACTCCGGGGAAGTCAGCGCGTGCGGGGGGAAGATGAGTTGGAGCTTGACCGCAAGTCCAGGCAGGGTCGCCGCGCCGCCCCTGCGTGAGGGACCTTGGATAGTGAAAGTGGAAGACAACTCACCTGGAGGGCGGGAGGCCGACCTGCCCGGGGACTGTCAGGATCCCGAAACTTCCCGACTGCGTTTTAGGCGGTTCCGTTATCAGGAGGTGGCCGGACCCGAAGAGGCGCTGAGCCGGCTCAGGGAACTTTGTCGTCAGTGGCTGCGGCCCGAGAAGCACTCGAAAGAGCAGATCCTGGAGCTGCTGGTGCTGGAGCAGTTCCTGACCATCCTACCCCGAGAGCTCCAGGCTTGGGCGCGGAAGCGCCGCCCGGAGAGTGGGGAGGAGGCTGCTGCTCTGGTGCGGGCTCTTCAGCGAGCACTTAACGGGACCTCACCCAAGGTGAGGAGTGAAAATGTTCTAGTGGTGGGAGGATGAGGAGTGGAGGTGTGAAGGATGCTGTGGGCTTCAAAAGTTGTCCTTATTACGTTTTGTGTGGACTTCAGGATGTGCATGAAACATTTTCTTTTCTGTAGGAAACAGTGACCAATAAATCCATCCCGGAAATGGTCCATGGGTTGTAGACATTTAGGCACAGAACCACCACAGGAGTATTGTTTACCCATTGTAAGGCACCCTCTTGTCTAACTAGATAATTTGGGAAGAAAGAGATCAGGAAGGAAAGTGTGTTACACTATGCTGTAACAGGTTCACCACCGCTTCAAAAGTGAGCATCTGTTTTACTCCCACAATTGATAATGGTACTCCAGAGAGGAAAGAGAGGCTGGAAATGGAGTTAATACTTAATCATGCCTACGTGATGAAGCCACCATAAAATCCCAATAGTAGGGGTTTCAGAGAGCTCCTGGGTTGGTCAGCACATCCACTTAGCGGGAGTGTGAGGAACCCCAACTCCAGGAGGACAAAACTTCTTGTACTCGGGACCTCCCAGACCTTACCCTATGCATCTCTTCCATCTGGCTGTTTCTGACTTACATACTTTTATCATAAACTGGTAATCTAGTATGTAAACTGTTTTCCTGAGTTCTGGAGCCACTCTAGCAAATTAATCGAACTGAGAGAGAGGTCACAGGAACTTCAGATCTATAGCCAAGTGGTGAGAAGCAGGTCTATAGGTGACCATGTGGAAGTGCGGCGGGGGTTGGAGGGGGGTCTTGTAAGACTAAGCCTTTAATCTGTGAGATCTGACACCATCTCCAGGTAGGTAGGGTCAGAATTGTTCAACTATATTCCACCCAGCTGGTGTCGCAGAATTGCTTGACCTTTGAAAGTGCACACCTGTGGTGTCAGAAGTGAAGGAGTGTTGTAGAGAAGACTTCAGAGTATTGAGAGGAGACACACAGGAGTGTGGTCGTCCTTTACAGGGAGAGAAGAG